ATGTCATCTTAAAAGAACTACAGTAGTTTAAATATCTGGGAAAAGCATTCCAAAAGCTAAGCAAGGTATCAAGAAACCGGAAAATTTCATTAGAAACAAGGAGAGTGCTGAACTCTCATGTAATATCAGTCATCCTATTTGGCAGTAAATGCTGGACAATTCCCTCACAGATGAAGAGATAACGGGAGGTAACAAAAATGTGATTCTACAGAAGGATGCTGAGAATATCATGGGCCGCGTAAGCAACCAAGAAATCTCAGGGAAAATGAAAAAAAGGACCCTTATACTCAGAATTGTGAAGAGACAGCTGAAATTTCTTGGACATAATGAGGAAGCATGGCTTAAAGAATTTGACTCTCAAAGCAGACAAAAAGGACCAGGAAAGAAATCCGACCTGACGAACTTTTGTGTATTGATAGCCGGTCGATCGGCTGGGAGGTTTAGTAAAAGGATAAACGTTGTTAAGAAGTCGTGGAGAGCCATGATAGCCTACATTTTAATGAGAGACGGCATACAGAAATTGAAAAGAATTTAGATCTGATTTACATTTAATAATATTTGAGTATAAGTTTTTAACAGTCAATGTTGTAAAGATACAAGAGATGTTTAATTAGTGTGTCAGAGATTTATTATTGAACTGCTGTTACGCGACTTCTGGCCCAGGAAACCGATAATCCGGTACTTTCCAGGATTTATGGTTACCGGAAGACCGGTGGTGTATGTGCATTATTTTGTATCCGTTGCTTTTTATACACCGTTATCCTTTAAGGAACGCTTTTTTAAAAAGGACTTTTCTGGGTTTATTGCCTTTCGTTTCCCATTTACGTAGAGCCTGTCATAACGGCCCTGCATTTGGAGATCCGAATGGTGCATCATTTTATATCTTGACAATCGCAAATCTCGTTGACAATTTGACAAGAGACGTCCATCCTCTTGTCTCCATGCGATGTTCGCGAAGAGAGGGAAAAGACACATATGTCGTTCATTTTTATGCGACCACTTTCCTGTGGGGGGAGGTGCGGATACTGTAATGGCTAACGAGTCGGAATATAAATTCCGAATTCCGGCCAATTTCGTTACATTCACTTTCGCACAAATACTCTTTCGAAATCTATCCCTTCCCTTCTTCCCGCAACCAGCAATGGGTGAAAAGCAGAACTGATCAGGCTTTCTTACCCTGAGGTGGCAACTAATTTAGGAGAAAATTCTGAATTCAAAACCAGCCTGAAAAGTGATGGTCTCCGTCAGGTTATCATGCCACAGACACACCACTACTGTTATGGTTGCAGTACTTATGGTTATCAGATTGGAGAGGTCGATTCCAGCGAGCTGCACCTTTGAAAAGTACCTGAAAACCATACCACGGGTTGACCCAAGCCTTGTAAGTGAAATTGGGTAGACGGAAGCCTTGAGTGGCGTCGATAGCTGTGCTAGCACGAAGTCATAAGTCATCGTGGCTGAGAGCTTGAGTGTGCTGGTCTTGGTGATCACGCTAGATAACACACTCTTTCCCAGAAACTGTAACTAAGGTCTGCTCAGCATAGTTGCAGTATAAACCACAGGTGGGCTCTGTGGGTGTTAAACACAAATGCGCCTGAGCAAGCGTCTGCAATGAGGATTGGCTCGCCGCCCTAGTAGACGGGTATCCTCGTATACGAAAGGCCAGCTATACATATATATATATATATATATACATACATACACATATTGGTTACGAGACACATGACGTGACTAAGTCTGTTTGAGTGTATACCCGTTCGAACTTTGAAAATTAACGAAAATTCTCACATCAGATAGAGATTTACTCAGCGTAACATAGTTGTGGAACAATGCTGAGTGTATAGGGCACCCAGTGAGGATCGAACTCTCTACACAGTCGTAACTGATCTAGCGTGACAAGCTTACTAACCATTACACCCCGTCAAGGTGCCAATTCTTACAGCCGATAAATACTATTTATTTTATGTTTTCGCCTTCGTACCAGAGTGTATTTAACACGTTGACTTCCAACCACGAGATAATTCGTGTTTGGCAGTTTTTACTGTGACACCGACTACGAGTTATAACTCGATACTTTTAGTGTGAAAACAATGTTAAGACTACAGGTGATGCTATTAATCGACTTATATTTTTTTATTGTCTAAGAATGCTACTACAAAATGGCGTTTGAAGTCGGATTTCGTAATTAACCTAGGTAGTTTCGCTTAACATAGCAACAAAACCGAAACTTTAACCTCAACCTCGATTGTTTTTATTAACTGAGTCATTTTTTTTTTTTTACAGCTTATCAGCCCTTTCGAGGTTATTTAAACCCGGGCAGAGAGTTTGAACATAGCCTCGTCGGGGTATCATATATGCCTGGAGGCAGAGTGTTTGACTAGCACAGCTGGAGACGAATTTCCAACTGCAGACCAACATACAGTTTTTACTACTGTATTTATATGAATGGAGGCATACACATGAACCCATCCTCACTGGGTGCCCCATACTTTCGGCCTTGTGCCACATCTAAACTGTGCTTAGAAAATCGTTTTGGAGCACGTCTAGGCGGTGTAAGGGTTAGCGATCTTGTCTCGCTAGAACAATTACGACTGAGTAATGAGTTCGATCCTCACTGGGTGCCCCCTACTTTCGGCCTTGTGCCACATCTAAGCTACGCTTGGAAAATCACTACACATTAACCCATTATCGTCCGTAGGTATGATACAACAGTAGGATAGATAAAAGTTGACCCGTGACTTGAAGCGGTTACGATTTTAGAAAGAGAATTAGATGTCCTACCAGGATTCAGTATTGCCGGCAACTATCATAACACTGTAAGATATGCAGATGACACAGTGCTCATAGCAGACAGGGAAAGTAAACTACAAAACCCCCTACAGAAGCTAGCCAAGGAAAGCGAGAAAAAAGTACTAAACATAAACTGCAGGAAGACAGAATGCATGAATTATTAGCAAAAGGATGAGTCCAAAATACAAATTAAGTATCAGACGTATTGGGATAGCCAAATATGCCTTTCCAAACCTAAGCAGAGTATTAAGGGATAGAAAAACTTCGTTAAAACCAAAGAAAAGAGTACTAAAGTGTAATGCGATATCTCTCCTACTGTATGGCAGTGAATGCTGGACAATTTCCTCAAAGATAAAGAAGAAACTTGAAGCAACAGAAATGTGCTTCTACAGATGGATGATGAGGATATCATGAACCGAACATGGGAACAACGACAAGGTTTTAAGAATAATGGAAACAAAAAGAAAACTTATGCTTAACATCAGGAAGAGAGAATTGAAATTATATAATGAGGAAAGAGTGCTCGGAAATCTGTTACTCACAGGGCGGTTTGAGGACGAAAGAGACAGAGGAAATCAACGCATAACATTCTTGCTGGGCTTGAGTCAATGGATGATAGAACAGTGTTTAGAAATAAAGACAGAATTTATTTACAACTGCAAGAGAAAGGAAACTGTGGAGAGCCATGATGGCCCACGTCCTGTGGGGACACAGTACATCAAGTAGTTAAGAATTACGAATCATCAAAATATTTAAATAGAAATAAACCATGATTTTTTTTTCACGGTTACAACCAGTTTTTTTTTATTATTAGAACATTGAAAACGTTCATAGTTGATTAGAAAATTAAAAACAATGAAAATCGGTTACGAAATTTTACAATGACCAGTGATTTCTTTTTTCACCCTGCTTTGTGGGCAAGGTATAACATAGAACTAACTGCACACTATGAAGAATGGGTAAGACTCTCCCTAAAAGAGACGACCTACGAAGTAAACACTTACTACTAAGACTATTACTATTACTCAAAATAAATTATTGTATGAACAATTTCTTATATTGACCTCAGTTGTATCCGTCCGGAGCTACATCAGTGGAGTCTTGGAGGAGACGGCTTAACAATAGTAAAATTCTTAGAGTTAAATTTATCAGAAGTACCACCATTTCGATTGGAAATTATGGAAATACTTAAAGACGCAAATATAAACGACCACTATTTACGAATAATGAGTTTGACACTCGGTAGGTACTCCATATTTGAGACCTTGTGCCACATCTAGGCTACGCTTAGGAAATCACTAAACTGGATGGGGAAGGCACTTTAGTGTGGTAAAATGGTTAGCAATCTTGTCTCGCTATCAATTACAACTGATTAGTGCGTTTGACCTTCATTGAGAGCTCTATGTTTGGGGCCTTGTGCCACATCTAAGCTACGCTTTGTAAATCATTATAATGCCATTCGACGCCCTTCGGTGTGGTGTAATGGTTAATAAATTTGGCTCGCTAGAACTGCAATTAAGTAGGGAGTTTGACTCTGAATTGGTGCTCCATACTTGCGGCCTTGTGCCACATCTAAGCTATACTTAGTAAATTATACCATTCGGGGCATTTCGATCTGCTGTAATGGTTAAAAAAGCTTGTCTCGCTAGATCAATTACAATTGACAGAGTTTGACCTTCACGTGCACTCTATATTTGTGGCCTTGTGCCATATATAAGCTTCGCACACTAAAATGTTGGGGGTTAGAATAAGCGAGCTTGGCTTGGAATTTTTTTTTAAGATCTAGTTAGAGAATGTTAAAATAAGCGGGGATGTACGATTATCAGAGACTGGCATTATTTACCTCTTCTTTTAACCCTTTGAACGCTGACCACCGCTTTACCGGTGGTAGAGAAAAATGACGTAATGCCCAACTATCGGTTGAACGGTGGGTAAACATTTGTAACTATTTTTATAACTAATGTGAAACATTGCATAACAATTACTTGCGAATTTTGACTCAGGAGCTCAAGCGGAAGGGTTAAAACTGTTCAGGAACGCAGGGTTGAAAGGGTTAAGCTCAAATATAAACGACCAATATTTAACTGAAAGAGCTGTATGATTCAATTGAACTAAATGATGCGTTAAACTTAATAAAGACGTTTTAATTTGTATGGAATAAGTTAAACAATGCGTATATCGCTTCTGAAGAATAAACCCCACTGGAGAATATGCCTCCCGCCAAGAGTTGGCAACCCCGCCAAATTAATCATGCCCGTCTCACACGTGAAAATGATATGAAGTAACTTTGGTGTGCTGAAGAATTAATTGAACTCATTTCCAGCGCTTCATACGATTTTATTTTACGTCATGCTCAAGAAAAAATATTTTATTGTAAAATCGAAGAACTAAATTGTTCCTTTTCATTATGATTTTTTTTCTCAGTTTAACGAATTACTAAGAAATTCAAATTGAATGTTAAACTGCACATAAATGCCTTGATATAAAATACATTTACGCAACCTCCTCCGACTTAAAGGACAGTAATCCCAACACAAAACGTCCCGGAGATGAACATGTTAAAGAATTCACTAATAATATCACTAAATCTTAATTTGTTACATGACTGAAGGACCTACAGTTTGTATTTACTTTGCACCAAGTTGACACCAAGTAAAAGACTTTACAACAATGTCACTCGTGCTTTTCACTGGAGATGATATTTAACTCGGTGAGTTGAAACAGTTTTGCTTATTTTGAACAGTAACGTTAAACTTAAAAAAAAAACACATTTGGTTGTCCGCTTTTAGGTGGCTTTTATAGTCTTAAATGTTTTTTTTTCTCTCATGGGATACATTGAAGTACAGGGTGGTCAGAAAGTCATGTCACCCTTATATAATATAATTTTATTATTATTTCAGATGGCTGACTTAGGCTTTTACAGTTTTGGCAAGAGTGGTTGGGGATGACAAGACTTTTGGGCCACCCTGTATATTTATTTATTTTCATTCTTTGACGCTGCAATGGGCGCCATTTTGATGTTTATTGAAGAAACCACCTTTTACAGCGCCAAATCTATGAAATGTCTGACTAAATAATTTTGCCACAAAAATAATCTTTTTTATCTTTGGTAATGACACATTTCGACGATAACATTTTATTTTTTCATATGTTTTTGCTTCACACATGTAATTCAGTTTTTTTTCTAACATGTAATTTACGGACGTCCAATATTTGTGATAGTATTCGCGTATATAAAATAGTTTCTATTAGTCATTGTGGATACCTACTATAACGGTAGGTTTAATTTCATTTTGCTTGGAGTATCTTCCGAATGAAATTGTGATTAGTTCTGGAGGTTTTCCATTATAAAACTTTAAAAAGAAAATTTAAAATGGAAGTTGACATTAAAAATGTAATTTTCATACCGAACGTAATTGCTGAATGTGAATATTTTTTTGTGGATGAAATAGCATGCTACATATTCAATGACTTAAAAAATCTAGGTCCAAGGTTATTAACTTTGTTAATTATTTTATACGTAACAAACTGGCATGTTGTTAAACGAAATGATTGTCCCAGAAACCAGGAAATATTTATTACTTCTTTTCTTCGTTTTACTTAATCGTTAAGAGTGCGGAATACTTTAAAATATATATATATATATATATATATATATATGCCGGTCATTTAAACTTGACATTAAACATAGTCCAGTAAGAGTTTGTATGTTTTGGGATGGTTAAAGTTTTCAAATTGAAAGCTTCTAGAAATTATTTAATAAATATATTTCTTTCCCAAATATATAACGGTCCTTGGTATGACGATAAACTACATCCAGCAGCGGGGCCTCTGAGTGGGCTGTTTTGGGAGCGGGTAGCCATCTCTTAATGGCTGATGTTCCCGGGTCCACAATGACAGCTTATTTATTTTGTTAAAAACATTTAACGCATGTGAGTTGTATTATATTATCTAGTATTTGGGGGGGGAGAAGTGGAGGCTAATCAGTTTATTACTTCATCTATGTGTCGTGCCACTTCAAGTCATGGGCGTTCATAGCTCTCCACAAGTTCCTATCCTTGTCTAGCACTCTGTAAGTTATGTTTCCACTATCCTTTCCAATCTTGGGTATGCCAAACACTTCCACACGCTTATTAGGTAAGTTTATTCGCGGTTTCTCTCCAGCCTTCACTGTGTACTGAGTGTGTCAAATTCTCAAACCTCTCTTTCTTCAATATATCCTAGAAATTTTAAGTCTTTTTCTCGTTTTAAGAATAAGTGTCCTTTTTGGAGTTTCTATTTTCCTTAAAACTTCCCCCTTCTTACATTTCCGCTAGATCCTATTCTTAGTATCCTTTACTTTTTTTCCCTATGTTTTTGTTTGTTGTGTTTTTTTTTTTACTCTATATTTTGCTTGTTTCTTTTTTTCCCTACTTTTTGTTTGTTGTTGTTAATTTTTTGCCTATTTTGGTTTCTTGTTTCTTTTTGCCTATTTTTTTTGGTTTCTTGTTTCTTTTTGCCTATTTTTTTTTGGTTTCTTGTTTCGTTTTGCCTATTTTTTTTTGGTTTCTTGTTTCGTTTTGCCTATTTTTTTTGGTTTCTTGTTTCGTTTTGCCTATTTTTTTTGGTTTCTTGTTTCGTTTTGCCTATTTTTTTTTGTTTCTTGTTTCGTTTTGCCTATTTTTTTTTTCTTGTTTCGTTTTTTTTTTTTGTTTCTTGTTTCGTTTTTTTTTTTTGTTTCTTGTTTCGTTTTTGCCTATTTTTTTTGGTTTCTTGTTTCGTTTTGCCTATTTTTTTTTTTCTTGTTTTTTTGCCTATTTTTTTTGGTTTCTTGTTTCGTTTTGCCTATTTTTTTTTTGGTTTCTTGTTTCGTTTTGCCTATTTTTTTTTTGGTTTCTTGTTTCGTTTTGCCTATTTTTTTTTTGGTTTCTTGTTTCGTTTTGCCTATTTTTTTTTGGTTTCTTGTTTCGTTTTGCCTATTTTTTTTTTGGTTTCTTGTTTCGTTTTGCCTATTTTTTTTTTGGTTTCTTGTTTCGTTTTGCCTATTTTTCTGTTTTTTCCCTATTTTTTGTTGCTGTTCCCCTTTTTTTCTTATTTTTAGTTCGCTTTTGTTTTTACGGTTTTTTTTTACGTTTTCTTTTTTCTCGTTTTTGTTTATTTGTTTCCCTTTTCCTTTCCACCAAAACCATTGTTTTTTCCCTTTTTTCTCACCTTTTTGTTTCTTTTTTCTTTTCATTTGTTTGTTCCCCCCCCCCCCACCTACACACTTTTTTTTTTCCCTTGCTTGTTTTTTTTCCCCCTTTTGGTTGTTTTTTTTTTTCTTTAAGACTTTCTTGTTTTTCTTTGTTTCTCCCTCCCCAATTTTGTTGTTGCTATTTTGGGACGTTCCTCTTGTTTCCTTGTTTTCCTTTTTTTTATTTTTCCATTGTTTCCCCCCCACACACACACTTTTTGGGGATTGTTTTTATTTCCCTTTCTTGGTTCTTGTTTTTTATCATTTTTTTTGTTTGTATTCCCTTTTTCCCCCTTTGTTTTTTGTTGTATTTTAATGTTCCCTTTTTCTTCGTTAATTCCTCTTTTGTGTTTTGTTTTTTAACCCCCTATTTTTTTTCCTTTTTTCCCTCTTGTTTTTCGTTCCAATTTTGGTGAAGAAGTGGTTGTTCTATATATTACGAGAGACTGAAAAAAAATGGCCGACTCATTCTATCCCTCCATGACGTTACTATCTTTAGAAATATCAGATTAGACCAAAAATGGAACTGTCTTTTTTTTCTAGACTTAATATTTCCCACAAATGCAATGTCACAAGTCAATTGCTATTCTTTAGTTCCTCCTTTTCAAACATTTACTTCTAGAACATGTCACTGCTACGGAGTCGAAGCCTCCTCATTTCATCTATGGCACAAAAGTAAGGATAAAGTTCCACTTTTCTTTTATTCAAATGATACCTTAAATAAGCACTTTAAAAGTAACATTTATCTTTTGAATACAAGTAGAAGTTTTTCTTATTTCTGGTTTCTTCGAAATTCTACTTTATGTAATTCTAACGTCTTCGCCTACACTCTGAAATTTATACTATTATTCAGTTTCCGGTTCCTTCTAAAATCTTTACCTTTCACATTCAGTAGAGCGTATTTGACGCTCTCGCCTTGCTTGAGGTGAATTGATAAAAAAAAAACTCTAATAGCTTTTGCATTGTGTTAATTTTAATATTAAAAAAAATAAAGCAAATTCATTCGCTTTTCGCGTCGTTTCAGAGTGTAGATTTACGGAAGGTCCATAACTTTCAAATTATAGTATACTAGCAAGAGAGCCCGGCGTTGCCCGGGGATGTAACAGTAAGAGATAGATCAAGTATCGACCATCATAAAGACTGAAAAATAAAATTGACAAAGATTATTGTTTAAGGTTGACGGACACGCATGACTTAATTAGTTTTTTTTTTTTTTTTTTACGAATTGGTCAAACTCAAACAAAAACATTGTTTTCAATCGTTATGAGTCTCCCGATTGAATAGAATTTTATTATAAACAATTGTCTTGTAAATTGAATTTTTAAAGCATTCTGAATGTAAAAATAAAGAAAAGTGTGCAAGACAATAAGAAACACTACCTGCCAAAAAAAGTGAAGTTTTGTTGAAATCGGTTGAAAAATGTAGGAAATTCGATCCCATATATAAACGAACGAACACACACACACACACACAACCTCGGTTTTATAAGTATAACTCGATGAGTTGTCCCCTTTTCATTCTGGTGACCGAATCGTGTTTTATCGTGTTTTCAAATTGATTTCGTGCAAAAACAATTGTGTTTTTCCAATTTTGGGCGCTGTCATAACCACCGCAAGGTAATTTTACGTAGTCCTGTGAAGTTTTGTTGAAATCGGTTGAAAAATGTAGGAAATCTGATCCAATATATAAACGTACAGACACACACACACAACTTGGGTTTTATAATAAGTAAGATAATTGGTTGAAAATATTTAAATCGTCTATACAATGCAGCTCGCTATGTGTTGATCTCCATATTACCGTAAGAACTCTGACGTAGTCAGCCATGAACACATGCGTCCGGGCGTAATTTTTGGCCTTAAATCATTTGTCACTGGAAGAACAAACTAAGATAGTTATCTCACGAAACTGAAGACTGGACATTAATCAATAAACATCTTGACTTTACATTATCTACTGAAATACCTTGTTTTCTGCGTATTTAGTATCTTGCAAGTGCAAGAATTGTAACCATTTAATTCTTGTCTGAATTTTTGAAAGGTATCGCAACGTTTCGATTGTTGTACGCTCCGGCCTTCTTCAGCTGTTTGTTGATCAGATGAAACACAATACAATTCACATTTTTATTTCGTATACGAAGGGGGATTGTTCTCGTTCCACAATGTCTAGGGATATATCGGCTTCTTTAGTATTAGTTCTGTATTGAAATCACAATTACTGCCATCAAATACACGAACCAAAACTCTATTGTCCTGTGGGACAATAATGAGTCTAGTTGGAGCCTTAACCCTAATGTTCTTTTAACGTACTGTTGGTTAAGTCATTCAATGTGAATTAAACTCCATATTCCGTGGGAATCATTTAAGAGACCAGCTTTCTGGTCATTAATTCACGTCAAGGCTTATTTCTTTTGAACGGCACAAAGCTAGAAAAAAGATGTCGTCAGTGGAGATGACTCATTCTTTTTTTTTCTTTGCTAAATATGGAATTTTTACCAGAGCTCACGTTCGATGACCCTTGTCCACCACTTAAGACATTTGAGGCTAACCGGAATGCATAAGGCGCGACATGTTTTTAGCGATTCTCTGCTAACAGATAATGTGAAATCCACATACCAACTCGTCCTGGGTATGACGATAAACTACATCCGGCAGCAAGGCATCTAATCGGGAGGTTTTGAGGAGCGTCGAGCAGCCTCTTAACTACTCTTGTTTCTAGGTCCACTCTGGTAGGGTCCCAGCTATGGGTAAATAGTTAGCCCCCAAACTTGGGTCAAAACACTGCCAGTCAGTTATGTGCCATGCGTGATACACGCTTAGGTGATCATGTATCTTTCGATACATGACTGACGATGTAGATTTTTTTCCCCGTAGTAGGTTGCCATTTCTTTCTGCGGTTGATCAGTTGCCATCCAAGGGTATAGAACCCGGTCTGTCCTGCTATTAATTCATAATTGTGGATTGGAGAAGAATTTTTATAGTAAAAATACCGGCAATACATTTGACTCTCGACAAAAACCCATCAAAAAATACGTCAATGATAACTGATCTTGAAACTGATTTCTTACAAAGAATACATATTCTATTCATGCGCACCTATCTTAAAAATCTTGTCCGCATTAAATAACCCATTAAGGTGTTGATCTGCCTAACAAAGCCAAATAAATTAAACCACTTGCCAACATGTGATGCTTTCTCAGTTCTCGATGGATAGTTATGACTAATGTTGGCAAGTGTTCTATAAGTTCTCTAATTGTAAACGTTATATTCTTGGGGATCAGAATAACGTCCTCTTGGGCGGCCTTATCTTGGCCCATTCTTTAAACTGGGTTCTCCCATTCTGAAACGAAAAAAAAAAAACTTCTACATATTCTTTCACACACCTGTGTTTTTGAAGGATTTTCCTGCAGTATTTGTACGATTCCTTCGGTAAAATCCACAGAATATAGTATGGCGGATGTGTTCTTTACTTGGAGCGAACATGGGACCGATTTGAAAGCTTTTCTTCAAATAGTTTTCCCAATATCTGGTTGAATAGGAGATAAATAGTAATCTAGACACTGGCAAATATCGGGCTTCTTTTACATGAAGACGATGAATGAAAAAAAAAAAGCAGAAGTAATCTGGAAATGTTGCAAGTAGATTCGGTTAGTTGAATGTCTTCTCTTGATTGCTGTTTACCTTTTTTTAACCAACAACATTAAAAATAGGTCGATTCCAATTTCTATTTAATCTTTGATTAAAATAATGTTTCCAATTCAGTTTTCTTTTCGGGAAATAATTAAATGTTATCCAAGAACAGTAAACTGTTGATTCTTTCTGAAAAAATTAAGACTGAAAAATTACAGTTCAGAAAGATACAACTCAGCAATGTCTTTCAGATTATTAATCGATATGAGGATAATGTATTACTGATGCTATTTTGGATTTTAAGACGTCACTATGATGACCAATATCCTCATCAGTAGTATTTATTTTTTGTTTGATTTTTTTTTTTTTTTACATAGCCTCCTTATTTTCTTTGTGATTTGTAACGGCAGGATTATTATTATGGTTTTCTTTTTCTTTCTTTTTTTTTTGTTGATGTTCTTTTTTTCTTTTTTTTTTTTTCCTTTTTCTTTTCACTTCTTTTCTTTTTTTTTTTTTCACTTTTTTTTTTTTTCTTTTTCTTTCACTTTCTTTTCTTTTCTTTCTTTTCACTTTTTTTTTCTTTTTTTTTTTTTTTTCTTTTCTTTTTCTTTTCTTTTCTTTCTTTTCACTTTTTTTCTTTTCTTTATTTTTTTCTTTTCACTTTTCTTTTCTTTTTCCTTTTTTTCTTTTTCTTTTCTTTTCTTTTCTTTTCTTTTTCTTTTCACTGATTTTTTCTTTTCACTTTTCTTTTCAAAAATTTTTTCTGAATTTTCTTTTCTTCTTTTCTTCTTTTCTTTTTCTTTTCAAACCTTTCTTTTCACTTCTTTTCTTTTCACTTCTTTTCTTTTCACTTCTTTTCTTTTCACTTCTTTTCTTTTCACTTCTTTTCTTTTCACTTCTTTTCTTTTCACTTTTCTTTTCTTTCAAAACTTTTCTTTCATTTTTTCCTTCTTTTCTTTTCACTTCTTTTTTTTTCTTTTCTTTTCACTTTCTTTTTTTCCTTTCACTTTTTCATTTTTTTCAAGTTTTTTTTCCTTTTTTCCTTTTTTTTTTAGTTTTTTCAATTCTTTTTCCTTTCTTTTTTTTCCTTTTTTTTTTCACTTTCTTTTTTTTTTTTTTTCTTTTCAAAAAATTTTTTTCTTTCTTTTCTTTCTTTTTTTTTCCTTTTTTCCTTTTTTTTTATTTTCAATTTTTCCTTTTCATTTTTTTTTTTTTTTCCTTTTTTCTTTCTTTTTTCAACTTTTTCCTTTTTTTTTTTTCCTTTTTTTTTTCACTTTCTTTTTTTTTTTTTTTCCTTTTTTTTTTCCTTTTTATTTCAATTTCTTTTTTTTTTTTTTCAGTTTTCCTTTTTTCTTTCTTGTCTTTCTTTTACTTTTCTTTCTTGTCGCTTTCTTTCTTGTCGCTTTCTTTCTTGTCGCTTTCTTTCTTGTTATTAGTTTAATATTTTTTGTTTTATCCAAATTTAAATTATATGCGCACGCGCGAAGTCGTGGTAAAAATTCTGTCCCAAACATATCCAAACATAAGAATTTATGACCCATTTTTAATAAGGGAGTCCCTTCTTGGTCAAACCGAGAGCGATACATAAATTGACACACACATATATATATATATATATATATATATATATATATATGTTTTTGTTTATTTTATTACATAGAAAAATTAATGACAAAGTGTGGAAAAAAATTATGTAACGTATTTCCCTTGATATAAATAAACATGGGTATTTTTTATTTTAATTATTTTTTTCTGTGTTATTTTTTGTTCATGTTTTTATCACATTTGTTATTAAGCATCCCACATTCTGGTATATAAAATATTTATATATCATTTGCCTCCGTAATGAGTGAGGTATAGTGTGTGCGCGCGAGAGAGAGGGAGTGTGCGTATGTATACGTTTGTTTATGCGTTTGTCTTTGTTTGCTTTCGGGTGCATTAGAGAATGCGTGTGAACTAACAGAAAAAATATGAAACATTTTCCAGCCTTTTTTTCTTTCTCTCTCTCTCTTTTTTTTTTTTTTTTTTTTTTTTCCAAACTGTGCTTGGTCGTCATTAAAAAAGCCAAATGTGTAATTTGTATAAATCACTGCTAGTCAGCACTCATTAAAATATCGAAAAGAATTTAAGTCGATCGACTTTGGTAAATTCCTTTCCAGCCGGTTGACTTTATTAACGAAGTCCGCTTCACAGATTCGATTTTGGAGAACAAAATCTACTAAAGAAAACTCTTTACATTCAGTTGCCATACGACATAGATTTGACGCTTAATTAAATTCGACTGGAAAGATTTTAGAATTTGGACTTTGTTCGCAATTGTCAAAGCAAGAGATCGCTAAATACAATGAATACAATCAAATAAGAAACTTAAAGGAAAATTTTTTAAAGTTTTTACATTTACCACCAGGTGCGGTAATGACAGTAAATTTCACTAGTATTTACTTTCTGCTTTTTTGTTGCTTTTTATTGTAAACTTTTATTCAGGCTGCCAATCTACGGCAGTGAATAGACAGCGCGGGATCAAAAATAAAGGATATTAGATGAAGCTATCTGTCTATATTTCAGAGATGAGGTATTATGTACACTATTTACATTATTCGGACTATTGTCCTCATCTTTGTCGCCATATTTATTCCAACGTTTCGGCCTTCTTCAGGTGTTTCGAATGTCGAACTGAACCCTTTATTTTGCTCACTGGGGTAGACTGTTCTAGTTCCACATGCTATATCTAATGGATGTCAGTTATCAGTTATCTCTTCTTAATTCACCTCGCCAAGTTCTCCACTGCCTTAACCAGGTATTGAACTTATAACTCTTGGGCTCCTGTCACTGGATCTAACCAACGCCTTTATCCACTGTGCCATGTGTCCTTGAGTTAGATCCAGTGACAGGACCCAAAGAGTTTGAGTTCGATACCTGGTTAAGGCTGTGGAGAACTTGGAAAGGGGAATTAACAGGAGATAACTGACATCCATTAGGCATGGTACGTGGAACTAGAACAGTTTACCCCAGTGAGCGAAATTAATTTTCACTAGTATTTATTTTCGTCTAAACAGTCCTGGGTATGACGATAAACTACATCGGGCAGTAAGGCTTCTGATCGAGAGGGTTGGAGGAGCGTGGAACTATCTCTTAATTTTTGTTGTTCCCAGATCAAGCTGGACCTGGGGTGTTAGCACCGGTAAGGGTCCTAGCTATGGGCAAATACTCGGGTCAAAACACGATGGATCTTTAAAATAGTTTATAGCAAAAATGCCAGCCATACATTTTTATATTAAAATATTACCAGCAATGTTTTTTGTAAAAATTTGAAAAAAAAAAAATAGACAAATAAAAAAAAAAAATACGAAAAATATTTTTCTGTAAAAGAAAATATTAATGCTCCCAAGAAAATTAAATTTCAGCATTAAATGACCCATAAGAAGTTGATATGCGGCTAAACAATCAAACATTCATCTTGATTTTAGTTGCTTTTTATTGTAACGTTTTTCAGACCGACAGGATCGGAATTAAAGGATATCAGATGAAGATTTGTCGACCATTGTTATCAAGTTGAATTATTTCCTTTCATGTTAGTTTTTACTTGCAGTTTGCCACACATTTTACTCCGGTGTCAATCTACGGTAGTGAGTAGATAGTCGTTCGTCATTGGCCGGTCGACTATAAAAAAAAAAAATAAAATAATAATGGGGACGAGACGCGTGTACTAGTAAAATAAAATCGGATCAGAAATAAAGAATATATTAGATGAAGCATTGTCAAGCATTATTATTAATTTTGACTAGTATTTACCGCCATCTTAATTTTTACTTGCTTTTTATCACAACTTTTACTCAGGCCATCAATCTACGGCAATGAGTAGACAGCACAGGATCAGAAATAAAGGATATTAGATGAAGCATTGTCAACCATTATTATTAATTCTGTCTAGTATTTACCGCCATCTTAATTTTTACTTGCTTTTTATCACAACTTTTACTCGGGCTGTCAGTCTACGGCGCAGGATCGGAAATAAAGGATATTGGATGAAACATTGTTAATCATTATTATTCGTTTTCACTGGAAGCAGACAGAGTAAGCGGCTGGCTGGCTGAATGCAGAGAGAGTAAATGGCTGGCTGGGTGAATGGATGGATAGACGCAGACAGTAAATGGCTGGATGGATGGATGCAGAGAGAGTAAATGGCTGACTGGCTAGATGGATGGATGCAGACATTAAATAGCTTGGTGTCTGGATGGATGCAGACAATCAACGGCTGGATAACTACGCATGGAGATGAATGGATACGGACAGTCAGATATGGGGGGATACAGATAGAATAAATGGATGAATCAATACGGATAGACATATATGGTCGGACATAGATGAATAGACGGAATCTGACAGATCAAAATGGCTCTGCTGAGACTGAAACGGAAATAGTAATTCATGCACCAGCTTCCACCTTCACACTCGGGCGCATAACAGATTACCATTTACATACAACATAAATAATTTTATGAAAATGGAAAATTGTTGCTGTATGTATATCCGGAAGTACGTGAAAACTGACGATTCTTGCAAATATTACAGAAATTAGCTGGCAATGCAATGGGGAAAGCGACCTTAGAAGTGTCGATTAGCAAATTCCATTTATAAGAAAACAAAAGACGCTCTGATCAATGCTTTTGCTAACGATGGGCAAAACTTGTCGGCAATCTCGTACGACGAAGCCAGTCAGTTCGTCTAAACGTCTGACTTAAATCGACGCAATTAGTAACAACCAATTTAACAGAGTGCAATTATGCACGCTATTTTGCAAAAGAAAAAGGTTAACTGAACAAAAAGATATTGCTGTGTGATCGTATATTGCAACATCTCGTGTAGTGATTGAGAAAAATTGGCATTTATTTCGGGTAGCACCGTAACGATGTCTGTACTTGCCGGGATTGCTCGATGGATGTGTACAAGGTTTAAATACGTCGTTGTTTGTAGGTCGAATTTCTCTTTCAGTGTCTTTGATTCATATAGACATAAATGCACTCAATTTACCCCCTTTTCTTTCTTTTTACTAAAGGTTTTTTAAAACAAGGCCCAAGAGCCACTCGATGTAGAAGGTTTCTGAGGGTGTGTGATAATAACTCTAGATGAGGAAGTAGGAAGCGATAATTATTAAAATACGGTGCCTAGTTAACTGACCCTAGACTTGAAGAGGTTAAGACTGTGGTGCACGGGGAAGCATCTATGTGAGAACTTTTCAAAAAGTAGCAGTATTTGGAAAGATTTCTGAGAGGGACTTCCTTCTTAGGGTTGTAATACGTAGAAAATGTGGGTGATTCAACCTTGAGGACGTAGCAATTCGGGTCTTGGCAGGAAATGTCTGAACTTGTGGTACGAAAGGTTTGGGCTCATCTGAACATTTGCAATGGAAGTTGATAGTGCGCGATAGGCTTGCGACATTTCGTCTATGAGTTTAAACAGACTATAAAGTGGAAAATACGTCTTCCCTCTTCGCAAGTTCGCGTAAAAAGTGTTTAACTATCAATGCTTGAAAGTGTGGATTGTTCATCTCTAACCCAGATATGACAGCAATGCTCCATTTTTAGGCCTAATCCGATTGTTGTATAAAGTGTGGTCGGAGAAGTCCGGTATTTTCTGGAGCACTACGAGGAGCCGACCATGTCAAATGTACATGACAGGAACTCATACAACTTTTGTATTCCACATTTTCACCTGTATCCATCTCGATTGCAGATTTCTTAGCTTAGTGACCTTTATTCTCTGCTACATTGTTATAAATCGTTATTGTGTGTGTTTTTTATCGGTTACGGCCAATCATTGCACTTTAAACACGCACCGATTCTAATGATGATACTTACCTGTAGCTGAAGCTTTTAAAAATGAGCAAAAATCTTACTATGACGATAAACTGCATCCGGTAGCAAGGCATCTGATCGAGAGATTGGACGTCTTCAGGAGCGTAGAAGCAGCTCTTAGTTACTGTTTTTCTCAGGTCCACACTGACCCGGGGAGGTAGCACATGTTATGTCTCAGGTTTAGGCAAATAGTAGGACACAAAACAAAAAACAAAACGCTATGAAAATACATTTTCATAGCAAAAAATAACAGTGATACATTTTATAGTAGAATGACCAACGAAATACAGTTTTTAAGTAAAATGACCAATAATGCATTTTATCTGGAGCTGAAGGCGTCGATATGCGTTGAAAATGGATGGAGCTGAAGGCGTCGATATGCGTTGAAAACGGACGGAGCTGAAAATATGCGTTGAAAACGGACGGAGCTGAAAAAGTCGATATGCGTAGAAAACGGACGGAGCTGAAGGCGTCGATATGCGTTGAAAACGGACGGAGCTGAAGGCGTCGATATGCGTTGAAAACGGACGGAGCTGAAGGCGTCGATATGCGTTGAAAACGGACGGGCTGAAGGCGTCGATATGCGTTTCGGACGGAGCTGAAGGCGTCGATATGCGTTGAAAATGGATGGAGCTGAAGGCGTCGATATGCGTTGAAAACGGACGGAGCTGAAGGCGTCGATATGCGTTGAAAACGGACGGAGCTGAAGGCGTCGAAAATTGAAAATAATAACGGACGGAAGAAGGCGTCGATATGCGTTGAAAACGGACGGAGCTGAAGGCGTCGATATGCGTTGAAAACGGACGGAAGCTGAAGGCGTCGATATGCGTTGAAAACGGACGGGCTGAAGGCGTCGATATGCGTTGAAAACGGACGGAGCTGAAGGCGTCGATATGCGTTGAAAACGGACGGAGCTGAAAGGCGTCGATATGCGTTGAAAACGGACGGAGCTGAAGGCGTCGATATGCGTTGAAAACGGACGGAGCTGAAGGCGTCGATATGCGTTGAAAACGGACGGATTTAGGCGTCGATATGCGTTTCTTTATGTTCTGCTGTCGATATGCGTTGAAAACGGACGGAGCTGAAGGCGTCGATATGCGTTGAAAACGGACGGATCGATATGCGTTGAAAACGGACGGAGCTGAAAACGTCGATATGCGTTGAAAACGGACGGGCTGAAGGCGTCGATATGCGTTGAAACGGACGGAAACTGAAGGCGTCGATATGCGTTGAAAACGGACGGAGCTGAAGGCGTCGATATGCGTTGAAAACGGACGGAGCTGAAGGCGTCGATATGCGTTGAAAAACGGACGGAGCTGAAGGCGTCGATATGCGTTGAAAACGGACGGAGCTTCGATATGCGTTGAAAACGGACGGAGCTGAAGGCGTCGATATGCGTTGAAAACGGACGGAGCTGAAGGCGTCGATATGCGTTGAAAACGGACGGAGCTGAAGGCGTCGATATGCGTTGAAAACGGACGGAGCTGAAGGCGTCGATATGCGTTGAAAACGGACGGAGCTGAAGGCGTCGATATGCGTTGAAAACGGACGGAAGCTGAAGGCGTCGATATGCGTTGAAAACGGACGGAGCTGAAGGCGTCGATTGCGTTGAAAACGGACGAAAGGCGTCGATATGCGTTGAAAACGGACGGAGCTGAAGGCGTCGATATGCGTTGAAAACGGACGGAGCTGAAGGCGTCGATATGCGTTGAAAACGGACGGAGCTGAAGGCATACAATTGCGTCCAAGCTAGATCGAGCTGAAGGCATACAATTGCGTCCAAGCTAGATCGAGCTGAAGGCATACAATTGCGTCCAAGCTAGATCGAGCTGAAGGAATACAATTGCGTTCAAAATGTTTAGATTTCGGCAATATATAACCAGTAGATGTTGCTAATCAAAATGTGCCAACTAACTAAAACTCTGCGCATATCCTATTTAATTTTCTGAACAACACAGTTGCAATGGTCCATTCCCAGAATTCATCATTAAAATTCAGAATGCGGAATTAATATATAATAAACAGTAAACATTATAATGAAATTTTAATGTACGGGGTGGTCCGAAAGTCCAGTCAACCTTTACCCAAATGTAATGATAACAACAGGACGAGTAATACAGTAATACAAAGCACATGTCATAGATTCAGTTTATTAACTTTCATTGATGCTGTCACATATCGAGTAAGTCTGTATGAAAACCATTTTCGTGGCACAAATGATGCATCGCCATGTCCGTATGAAGAGCATCATTTTCGTGTCAGACATCTGAAATAGAAAATTATATTGTATCGGTGTAACACGACTTTCTGACCCCTCTGTAGCATTGGTCGCACTAGGTAGACTTGCCCAACACTGTAAATTGCTCAATGGAAACAAAATTAACCTAAAACTCGAATCCTGTTCTTAAGTAACCCCGTCAGAACGGGACTTTCATACGGTTATCCTGCATGGCACCAAACTCGGAAATGTCTAGACTGTCACTTCTGTACAACCGCTTTCTGAAATCAACAATCAAAAATGGATTTGAATGTCACCTGTAGGTCTTAGCGAGGGACATCCTTCTTCGAAGCTCGTGGTCTGGGGGGGCTGCAGAATCACAAATAACTGTTCCAAATAACAGAAACATCACACGAGGACTTTCAACACCAGCAACAACTAAAATGCATAGCACATATAACTCTAAGAGAAAATGACGACATCATCAAGATTTCGATGTACCACACTACTTTGAACAAAAATTTATGAAGAACCCCCACCACACACACACCCACACACACCAATACGGGAAACCGTTTATGGTTGGTAGATTTGAGAAACCTATTTTTCTGAAAAATTGAAGAGAAATATTTTAGAAAATACAACCAACAGTAGCACTGGCTGCTCGGTCAATGAATTCGAAAGGTTTCCTTAAAACGAAACTTCTTATCAGTAATATTTATCTAAATAAGAACGATTCTATAGATTTCATATCTGTGCGCTTGCTCCAAGATGGTTGAGCCGACAAAGTCTCTCTCTCTGTTTCTCTCTCTCTCTCTCTGTTTCTCTCTCTCTCTCTCTGTTTCTCTCTCTCTCTCTGTTTCTCTCTCTCTGTTTCTCTCTCTCTTTCTCTCTCTCTCTGTTTCTCTCTCTCTCTCTTTCTCTCTCTCTCTCTTTCTTTCTTTCTCTTTTTCTCTCTTTCTTTCTTTTTCTCTCTTTCTTTCTCTTTTTTCTCTCTTTCTTTCTCTCTTTTTTCTCTTTCTTTCTCTTTTCTCTCTTTCTTTCTTTTTTCTTTCTTTCTCTTTTTCTTTTTCTTTTCTCTTTTTCTCTTTTCTTTCTCTCTTTCTCTCTTTCTTTTCTCTTTTCTCTCTTTTCTCTCTTTTCTCTCTTTTTTTTTTCTCTTTCTCTCTTTTTTCTCTCTTTCTTTCTCTCTTTTTTCTCTCTTTCTCTTTTCTCTTTCTTTCTTTCTTTTTCTCTTTTCTCTCTTTTTCTCTTTCTTTCTCTCTTTTCTCTCTTTTTTTCTTTTTCTCTTTTCTTTCTCTTTTTTCTCTTTTCTCTCTTTTTTCTCTCTCTCTTTTTCTCTCTTTCTTTCTCTTTTTTCTCTTTATTTTTCTCTTTTCTCTCTTTCTTTCTCTCTTTTTTCTTTCTCTCTTTTTCTTTTTCTTTCTTTTCTCTTTTTCTCTTTCTTTCTTTCTCTCTTTTCTCTTTTTTTTTCTTTATTTTCTCTCTTTTCTCTTTCTTTCTCTCTTTTCTTTTCTTTCTCTTTTCTCTTTCTTTTTCTCTTTTTCTCTTTCTTTCTCTTTTTTCTCTTTCTTTCTTTTTCTTCTTTCTTTTTTTTTTTCTCTCTCTCTTTTTCTCTTTTTTTCTCTCTTTTTCTCTCTTTCTTTCTCTTTTTTTCTTTTCTTTCTCTTTTTTTCTCTCTTTCTTTCTCTTTCTTTCTTTCTCTTTTTCTCTTTCTTTCTTTTCTTTTTTTTTTTTCTTTCTCTCTTTTCTTTTCTTTCTTTCTTTTTCTCTCTTTTCTTTTTTCTCTCTTTTCTCTTGTTCTTTTCTTTCTCTCTTTTCTCTTTCTTTCTCTCTTTCTTTTTCTTTCTCTTTTTCTTTTTCTTTCTCTCTTTTTTTTTCTTTCTCTCTCTTTCTTTTCTCTCTTTTCTCTCTTTCTTTTCTCTTTTTCTCTCTTTTTTCTCTCTTTTCTCTCTTTCTCTTTTCTCTTTTATTCTTTCTCTCTTTTCTCTTTCTTTCTCTTTTTCTCTTTCTTTCTCTCTTTTCTCTTTTTTTCTCTCTTTTCTCTTTCTTTCTCTCTTTTTCTTTCTCTCTTTTCTCTTTCTTTCTCTCTTTTTTTTTCTTTCTTTCTCCAAACTTTTTCTCTTTCTTTTTTTCTCTTTCTTTCTTTTTCTCTTTCTTTTCTTTTCTTTTTTTCTCTCTTTTTTTCTCTTTCTCTTTTTTCTTTTCTCTCTTTTTCTCTCTTTTTTCTCTTTCTTTCTTTTTCCTTTCTTTCTTTTTCTCTTTCTTTTCTTTTCTTTTTCTTTCTTTTTCTCTTTCTTTCTTTTCTCTTTCTTTCTTTTATTTCTTTCTTTTTATATTTCTCTCTTTCTTTCTTTCTCTCTTTCTTTCTTTCTCTCTTTTCTCTTTCTCTCTTTCTCTTTCTCTCTTTCATTCTCTCTTTCTTTTCGTTTTTTCTCAACTTTTATATATATATATATATATATATATATATATATATATATATGTGTCTGTTGTATATATATATTTGCTCCTATTTGGACATGGACTATTCCCCACCCAGAATCTATGAAACCTAAGATTGTACGACTAATCTGGGTCGGAGTATATCTAAGATAAGGACATTCTCCTGAGCTGGAGCCATACAACCAATTGCAGATTTAATTTAATGCCATACCGTGAACATACATGTATTTGCTCCAAGCGCCACTTTCAACGTCGACACAAAACGCACCTGAGTAGACGGCCTGTTTCCTTTTAAACAGTGTGAATTACTTCCACCGGCCTATGCATTAACAAAGAACATGTGCGCTCCGACAGGATTTGAACCTACGCCCCCAACACTTTGTAATGGTTGGTTGATTTTGTTAAGTGACATATCGACACCTCTATGGGTTATATAATGCCGAAATCTAAATATTTGGAAAAATTTTATGGCGTCAACTAAATATATTTTGAACGCAATTGCATGCCTTGAGCTACAAATAAAATGCATTGCTGGTCATTTTAGTATAAAATGTATTGCTGGTCATTTTAGTATAAAATGTATTGCTGGTCATTTTAGTATAAAATGTATTGCTGGTCATTTTAGTATAAAATGTATTGCTGGTCATTTTGCTTTAAAAATGTATTGCTGGTCATTTTGCTTTAAAAATGTATTATTGGTATTTTTTTATATAAGAATGTCTTATCATTTCATTGCGTTTTGTTTTTGTTTGTAAGTTCGCTATTTGCCTATAGCTGGGACCATAACAGGTGCTACCAGCCCGGGTCAGGGTGAACCTGAGAACAACAGCAATTAAGAGTTGGATCCATGTTCCTCAAAACATACATTCTCTCATTCAGGAGCCTTGCTGTGGGGGTGGAGTGTATCGTCATACTCTGGACTGCTTTATAATGGAAACCACAGTCTAATCTTGTGCGATTTTGGCCGCACGATCACAGAAAGCGTCACAGACTAAATTCATTAATTGCTTCGAAGATACATAAGTACGTCTGGATAGGCTTGGTTAAATTTAAAAAAAAAAAACAAAAAAAAACAGTAACATACTCATAGATTTCTTTATGCCATGTCCCTCCAGGATGTAGACGATCATGGCTCTCCACGAATTCTTCTTTATTATCTGTGAGTCTCTGTGATTTGTTGAGATAATGGAGTGGTTTCCACTTGCTTTCACTATGGTTTTAAATTCAGTTGTCCATTTCTTAGAATGGATGCCAGACAAAGCTATAGAACCCTGTTTATTCTGCTTTTTAACTCGTAACTGGCTGGAAAAGTGACTGATCCCGGCATTTCCCAAGGGCATTTGTGCGTAAGTCAACGTAAGACACTAGGATTTGAACTATGATCGCCGATTCCTGTTTGCGCACCGCTACCTGTATTGCTACTCACACATGGAGATAGCCATAGATGGACACGCAAAAACTGAAAAAAAAAAAAGAAAAAAAGTTTATACCGTACGACATCTTTAATCCGGGACGATGGTCCAGTAACTTCGATATTGCGGCACTTTTTTTTAATCAGCTGCCATTAGTTTTTTGATAGGCTACGAGAACAGCGCCACATGTTGTTTACAACTTGCCACAGCAGCAGAGTGTTTATGTGATACGGTCTTGCTCATTTCTCATAGATATAATTGCATATTTGTCTGTTCAGGATGCTACCCAAGAGATCAGGAAGTGCCGATTGAAGCTGCCGGAGGTAAGAAGCTTACTCATAAATCTTAATATGCTTTAAAAGGTGGAATTACTAAAGAAATTAAAGAAAGGAACGTCATCCTTAGATATGTCGAATGGGCTGGCAAGACTGGTGAGAGAGGATTTGGGTCTTACGGTCATATCACGATGAAACATCGCCCCACCAGATCAACCAAGTTAAGCAACGTCAGTAGCTAGATGGGTGACCACTTGGGAAGCTTGGATGTGTGGGTGGTGTAATCTGAGAACAGAGTTCGAATACCCTTTGGAAAAGCTATGAATCCACGTCTTCTCCCCCAAGTGTAATCTAATATGACCTTTCAAAATAAATAATCCAAAAATATTTCGGCTATCAAAAAACTACAAAAGTTGACAAGACATGTAAAAAAAAAAAAAAAAAAAATATTTGATAATTTCTGTTATCCGGCATTTTCTGTTGCCCGATAGTGACCTGGTTCCAAGAGTGCCGGATTAAAGGGGTTGAATTGAACTAATTAAGCTATAACACTTACGTATGTGGGCGCTCCCCAGGCGGTGTAATGGCTAGCAAGCCTGTCTCATAAGAATAATTACGACTGACAAGTGAGTTCAATCCTCACTGCGTTCCCCATACTTTCGGCCTTGTGCTAAAACACTTGAAAATCGTTATAACCCTTACGTACGTTGTTTGTTTTTTTTACTTTTTTTTTGTTTTTTTTTTTTTTCGTGTTTTTTTTGTTTTTTTTTATTTTTTTCATGTTTTTTTTTTTTTAATTTTTTTGGTTTTTTAATTTTTTCGTGTTTTTTTTTTTTTTTCGTGTTTTTTTTTATTTTTCGTGTTTTTTTTTAATTTTTCGTGTTTTTTTTAAATTTCGTTTTTTTTTTTTTTTGTTTTTTTTTTTTTTTCGTGTTTTTTTTTTCGTGTTTTTTTCGTGTTTTTTTTTGTTTTTTTTTCATTTTTTTTTTGTTGTTTTTTTTGTTTTTTTTGTTTTTCGTGTTTTTTGTTTTTTGCTGTTTTTTTGTGTTTTTTTTTTCGTTTTTTTTCGTGTTTGTTTTTTTTTTTTTTTTTTTTTTTTTTTTTTTTTTTCGTGTTTTTCTGTTATTTTTTTCGTTTTTTATTTTCGTGTTTTTTTTGGGGGGGTGCGTGGTTTTTTCTTTTAGTTTTTTTTTCTTATCAAATTATACAGAGGGCTATAAGTTTTTGGCTTGTGTAATAACATCTCTTCGCAAGGAATCAAGTCACTGCCATGAGTAGCCCAAAGTCCTGACATGAATCCAATAGAGTACGTTTGGGTGCATCTTGACCGAAATCACGTCAGTAGTAGCCCTTAAAGAAATTCATTATGTTGAGTTGGGATTATGTAATTAAATTTTGAAATCTCCTGGCTAAAAACTTTTCTTCTGCCACGTGATATACTACATCATAAGCGATATAGCGATTCAGTAAGCGTAGCTTAGATGTGCCCCAAATCCGAAAGTTTACAGAATCCAGAGAGGATCGAACTCATCATCCAGTCGTAATTGGTCTATCTAAACAAGCTCGCTAACCATTTCACCACGCCGAGATTTCGTAAGCATAGATTATTTGTGGCCCATAGCAGAAAGTATGGAGCCCCTAATACTGTTTATGTTATATGGCGATAGATAGACTGCCGGGCAGATATCAGCACATTCGCAGAGAAAAGTACACTATACCAGATATTGATTGCAAATAACGGGCTGGCATATAAAGTTAACGACAGACTGATGGTTTTATTTTCCTTAAATAATCAATATCCCGTTAAGTCGTTTAAAGACTACAAATCCTTTTCTCTGTTCGTCTTCTTTGTTTCTTCAGCCTAGCATAAAGAATACTGCATTCTCTTTGTACAAGAAGAAAAGTCAGTAGCCGTAATCAAAAGCCTATTAAGCTTTGTTTGGGAAATTCAGAGGCACTTTTCATCTTTTTTATATCTTTGGTAAGCGTGCAGTTTTCGAGATCGGGGAAACTGGTGAGAATTTCGAACGTTGTGACTTTCTTTGCTGTCGTTCTTTCTTTTCATGAAAAATATAAAGAGAAAAATATTTCAGTGCGATGAAAACCATTAAAAGCAATTTATCACCACTTAAGGATTGCAAACTTAGTTGTGCCAATACGGTCAATTGCTGTAAATGTATATTTTAGCAGGTTTTCAATTAAGGTGGTTTTATTAAAAAAAAAATTTAAAAAAACGCGCGCGCACACACACACACACACACACACACACACAGTTTGATATTGTTTAGTGCTTGTTTGTGGTGTTTTCATATACTGCAACGTGTGTAAAATTTCCTATCCATTCGTCCTTCCTCCCCGCTCTGTTGCGATCGTCATGTTCGTCTCTTTTGCTATCCTTCAAGGCTGTATCCTTCCGTCTGACTGTCCCTTCCGTCTGTGTTGCTATCCTTCCGTCTGAATGTCCCGTCCGTCTGCGTTGCTATCCTTGCGTCTGCGTTGCTATCCTTCCGTCTGAATGTCCCATCCGTCTGCGTTGCTATCCTTCCGCCTGACTGTCCCGTCGGTCTGCGTTGCGATCCTTCCGTCTGACTGTCCCGTCTGTCTGCGTTGCTATCCTTCCGTCTGACTGTCCCGTCCGTCTGCGTTGCTATCCTTCCGTCTGCGTTGCTATCCTTCCGTGTGACTGTCCCGTCTGTCTGCGTTGCTATCCTTCTAACAGACTGTCCCGTCGGTCTGCGTTGCTATCCTTCCGTCTGACTGTCCCGTCGGTCTGCGTTGCTATCCTTCCGTGTGACTGTCCCGTCCGTCTGCGTTGCTATCCTTCCGTCTGAATGTCCCGTCCGTCTGCGTTGCTATCCGTCTGCGTTGCTATCCCCTATCAAAATTCCCGACAAACTGCGTTGCTATCCTTCCGTCTGACTGTCCCGTTCGTCTGCCTTGCTATCCTTCCGTCTGCGTTGAAATATCCTTCCGTCTGAATAGTCCCATTCGTCTGCGTTGCTATCCTTCCGTCTGCGTTGCTATCCTTCCGCCTGAATGTCCCGTCCGTCGTTGCTTCATATGTCTGCGTTGCCATCCTTGCGTCTGCGTTGCCATCCTTCCGTCTGAATGTCCCGTCCGTCTGCCTTACCATCCTTCCGGATAGCTGTCTCGTCCCTCTCCTTTGCTATATTTCCTTCTGACCGTCCTGTCCGTCTCCGCTATCTCTTCGTCTCTCTAGTCGACGTATTTTTAAAATAATAAATATATATTTATAGGGTTCTACATACATACACACACACACTATATATATATATATATATATATATATAAATATATAATATATATATATATATATATTATAGTTACCTCCATTAAGGTAAAAAATAGCATACCAGGGAGAAAAAAACCCAAACCAAAATCTTTTTTGTTTTTTTTTTTTTTTATTGATTTTTTTTTTAATTTTCAAAATTGTCATGAATTTTAATAAAACTTTCAGAACATATTCGGAAATGAATGAAATTATTTCCTATTTTTTTTGTTTTTAAATTTTGGTAAAAAATATATATATATATATATTTTTTTACATATGTTCAAAATTTCATGAAATTTCCAGAAATTAAATTTTTAAGTTGGGGTTTATTAGTTAAAAACAGGACTCTTCAGAGAAAGTAAATCATCAAATTTTTTGTAAAACAGTTACCTGTTTCATCGAAAATCTGATCTGAATTTCAAAATAAAAAATGCAATAAAACTGATATTATTTAATTATAAAATCTTTTAATTGCTTTTTGTAAATAAGTTATATTAAGGACACTATTGTCTGATTTTTTGTAAAAAAAATTTTCGATGAATAATGAATTTTAACAAAGATTTCTTGCATTTTTTTGAAAAACTTAATTATAATAATATAATAGTTCAAAAATCGTTTAAAATTCTTTATTGCTTTCACGAATGCTATTTGGTAATATCGTTAAGTTTAATTTATGAAAATTATTAATAGTCTTTTGTTTTTTTTTATTTTTAAAATAATTTTAGTGAAAAAAAGCGTTCCTAATTTCTATTATATCTATACATGACAAATTAAAAAGGTCATTTTAAGGGTTCTGAAATTTATTTCACTTTCAATTCAGTTCTGTTTCATCAAATAACGCAAATGTCCTATCAAAATATCAAAAAAACTTTAATTTTCTTAATTGCTGTTTCACTATTTTTTTTTATTTACGCATTTATTTTCATGTGAGTCATACTTAAATTAATAAATTTTTTGTTTAAGGTAATAAACTTAAGAACCTAGAAACAATTCAAATTTCATAAAGATTCTTGAAACCTAACTAAAAGTCAATAAAATATTAAATAATTGTTGAAAATATGTTAATTTGTGAAAATTACTAGGTAGTTAAAGACTAATATGTCATTTCTAGTCATCCATAAGAGCTGTCATCACCTTAAGAGCTTCTCGATAAATCAATAAAGATCAAAGAAAGAGGAATCCATCGTTAAGAAATTCTTACATTTTTTTTTTTTTTTTTTTGTTATAAGTAATATTTACTACAAATCAGATTAATTTAAATTTTCTAATTTTGGTTAAATAACGTGTCATAAATTTATAATTTAATTTTGAAAGAATTTAAAACCGATAAATTTGTTTATAAATTTCTTAAAAAATAAAATGGTCGCTTTTAAGAACATTTTTAAAAATCGAGCAATTATTCGACATTTAATGAAATGTCGAATAATTGCTCGATTAATATATATATAAAATTAGATAACATGAGAATTTGTAGAAAAAAAATTAAATTAAAGCACCTTGTCTGTCGTATTCAATGAAATATATTGTTTGCAATATATATATATATATATATATATATATATATATATATAAATAAAACTAAAAATACTTGAAGCATTATACATCAAACAGTTGAAACCCAACCTAAGCAAAATCAATTCTGGCATCTCTAAAAATATTCTTAAATGTCTATAATTGGTAACAGAAGCCATTGGTTTATACCAACGGCTTTCCATACTTCATTCTCCAATTCACTCTCGTGTGGTCATGTGTGACATCATGAGATGCGGTGCGATTTTCGCTTCTAGCGTATTATATGCGCGTGTTTATTGTTGCTTAGAAATCATCTATGTAAACAATGACAGACTATCATCACTGTCGTGTCCGTATATTGTTTAATGTTGTAATTGACATCTTTGATAATGGCTTAAGTAAGCCGAAAGCTTAGATTATATTAAAAAAATATGGATCAATATTGTGAATTTCTTCCTTCATTCAACGATAATGTTATTAAACTTATCAGATGTTACGAAAAAAATTTACATAAAATAAATAGACAACACTTGTCTATATTATTTAATGAAACGTATATATGTGTGTGTGTGTGTGTGATAGAGAAAAGAGAGATTTGAATAAATACAATTTTATACTCGGTACACGATTTGACAATCGAACAACACCTATTAGAGAATGAGATGTGCTCGTCGTGTTTCGCGACGGACTCATTCTCTATTTTGCATATAGACAGGTCCAAAGACCATTTGTTAGTTGTAGATGCCATTTATCTTAAATTGCTGCAACCACTTCTCTGCAGACAAATGAGTAACTTTTTGCGGTCTTTAAACTTATTTGGTGGTTAGTGAGCAATTCTTTACTTGTTTTATGCTCTTATTTTTACAAGATTTTCCAAATCAATGAGTTTTCCCGCTGAAACTGTTACACTAAAATGACCATTACCACAAGTAGTACAAAGTTAAAATAAAACGAGATTTATTTTTACCCAAATTTAGAATGTATTAGAACGAAGGAATTTTTTTTTTAAATGATTAAAAATTACTTTGTTCTTTCCTCTTAATAATAACAAACATTTTGACGATAAAACTTTGTTTTTATTAAGTTTGGGGCTCTTTTATCATTATACTATACTGATTTTTTTAGCGAATTATTGGAGGTACCTACGTTTTGCTTAATCCGATTCTTTAAAAAGAATCGATTCCTATGTATAAATGCCTGTCTTAGGCTAATTGCACATTTTGCGTAGTTTCTTCCCAAAGGAATTCTTATTTAATAAACACACGAGCAACGAACAAGAATTAATGAAATGAAATGTTGCTTCCTCTATCCATTTCACATTTTAACCAAGTCTATTGAATTCCCATTCCCTGACAGATATTAGTCTCTTTCATACAACTATGAATTGACAATCAGAGTAGGCTGCGTTCTCTAAACTTGGCTGGCATTTAGTCTACATACAACTATGAATTAACTATCAAAGTAGACTACGTTCTCTAACCTTGGCTGGCATCTAGTCTAGGACAAAGACGGTGCTTAATTAAAAAAAAAAACACGGAGCGGTCAACAAGAAACTGCTCCACTCTCTTGTCATGCCAATTTACAAATACTAAATGAAGTAATCCGTGAAAAGAACCATGTTTTTTTTTCTTTTCATATATATATTTAATTAATTCATCGAGTCTGATAGAAACCTCAACAGAATGCAGAAAGCACTAGACGGCCGTTTCGTTCTATATTTGGGACTCATCAACAGGGCGCATCCACTACCGAGAATTGAAACCCTGACAGTTAGGTTGTCAAGCAAACATCATACCAACAGGCCTCGGTGACGAAGAGATTCCAAATCAGACTCAATATAGCACCGCTCGCTTACATATTCCGTGTAACCATAGGACTGTGCCTCCTGGAGGCACGACTACTCTCACCAAGCTTGACAACCTGTCAGGGTTTCAATTGTCGGTAGTGGATGCGCACTGCTGATAAGTCCCAAATATAGGACGAAAGGGCCGTCCAGTGCTTTCTGCATTCTGTTGAGGTTTCTATCAGACTCGATGAATTAATTAAATATATCTAATATATATATATATATATATATATATATATAAGAACTTTTTTGCTATGCCCTCCAATACAAGGCCAAAGAGCTACTCAAGGTAGTGAGTGATTGATAAGGCTTCTTTATGGACGTAAGAGGAAAAAGTAAGTGCAGATTATGAGGATGTGTAGGATAGATAATAGTTGACGATTGAATGGTGGTGGTCGGGGAAGCATCCACTCGGGCGTCTGTTCCACAAAAACAGCAGCTTTGTTAATTGGGGGAGGAAGCTGTCCGATAGGAACTTCCTACTTCCCACTGGAATACGAAACGTAAGAGAATGAGTCGACCTTGCGTACGTGGTATGGCGAGTGTCAGCTGTAAAGGTCTGAACTGGTGGAACTAAAGAACGTAACGCATCAGAACAGTTATTTTCGAAATACAAGAAGATAATCCAGTCAAGAGACGTTATGACAATGCTAATATTAGCCGTTTCCTTTTATAAGGAAACATTCGGCAGTCATTAACCGACAGCACGACAACAGCACATGAGATTTGGTTATAGTGGTGAAAGTTTCGTGCAGGACCAGCCACACTTTTTGAAGGAACGAATGCAGAGAGCTGGTGCACCGAGTGACACAAGGTCCCCAAACGACCCTCCGCAGGTTTTGAATTCAGAGTTGTCCTTCTCCTAGACCTGTTGCTATCCAAGGCTATAGAACCCAGTCTGTCCTGCTATTTACCCATAGCTGGAGGGAGAAGAAGAGGATTCACACCTTTCCCAAGGGTATATATATATATATATATATATATATATATTATATTATATATATATCGGCTATATTATATTCCCATAAAATTCCATCAAAAGGTTTGTTGACAAACAATAATTACTAGATCAAATACTGAAATACCTACGGACGTAGTTATAAACCTAGTACATCTTATTTTGGGCCCATCTAGAAAATAATAATTCTCTTCACCACTACCGCAAATTCGATAAAATTATTTCCTAACTAATGAAAACCTTGTATTCACAAAGTTCTCACCTACTATGTGAAATTAGATTTTCAGATTCCCCTTACGGATATAAGAATAGAAACCTGTTTCTCGGGAGTCGAAACTATTTCGGAACCCAGTTTGATTTACACATGCGTACCCACCCGCACACAATAGAAGATACAACAGCCAGCAGCTACCGACTAAGCCTTTGTCTACGAACTCACACATTTGGCTGAGCGTCATAACGAAAACCCGTCCACTCATTTCATATCGCGAGATGAACACTTATTCTATATCTATAATTCTCAAAATGTCTGCGTGTGTGGATGCGTTTCCAGTTTTCATCGGTTTTCAATGAAATTTTCTTGTTTGATAGATAATTCTTCAGTGCCGGTTTTGATTGAAAAAATACAAATTCCCTTTCTCTTGCCCCAAAATTCAATCTCTCTCAAGTGAGGTTACCTTTTCCGTTGCATAAAGCCTACACATAAAGCTACACTTTTAAGGCTTTGCTTTCATTGTCGTTTATAAGCCATTCCCAATTTAATTTGTTTTATTGCCCTGCCTTTTTTTACATTGCATTCACCGCGGTAATAAGAAAGCTTGCTTTTTTATTACTCAACATTTTTTTTTTTTCAACCTTTCCTAAAGTTATTCGAGCTTAGTGATCTCTGTAGCTTTACAGCGTTCTCTTTTGGTATTTGCCCACGCATTCCATTTGACAATTCAGATTTGCCTAAGACATCCTACCAAAGAAAAGATCAATGCGCACTTGTCAAGAATGTCGGTTTTAAAAACTGAACATGATTATATACAGTACGTATGTATGTATGCATCTATGGATGGATGGCACTAGCGGTGAGATATATCGGAAATACCCAGACTAAATGATTGTTTTAATCCCTTTGATTTCTTTTCTCCTTGGCAAAGCTGAAATCGCTTTTAAATTGATTTAAATAACTTGCCAAGCAGAATAAAAATAATATTTTTTTTTTCCACTGTCTTTTTCGATGTTTCGCCTTTTTATTTTATTTTATTTTATTTTTTTTCTTCCTCCCATTCATTGTTTTCAACTTTCGGATCATTTTACTTCTTTGTTTTCATTCCCACTCCGCGTTCTATTTCTTCTTCTTCGCTTTCATGCCCTTATATTTCCCCAGTTCTTTTTCTTCTTGTTCCTTTCATGTTCTGACCCCCCACCCCCAAAAAAAACTATTTCTTCTTGTTCCTTTCATCCCCCCCACCCCCAGGTCCTATTTCTTCTTGTTCCTTTCATCCCCCCACCCCCGGTCCTATTTCTTCTTGTTCGCTTTCATCCCCCACCCCGGTCCTATTTCTTCTTGTTCTCAATATCCCCCCACCCCGGTCCTTAATTGTTCTCGTTCCTTTTTCCCCCCACCCCCCCAGTCCTATTTCTTCTTGTTCGGTTCATCCCCCCACCCCGGTCCTTCCCTTTCTTCTTGTTCGCTTTCATCCCCCCACCCCCATATCACACCTATTTCTTCTTGTTCAAACAAAGATGGATCATTCCCCCACCCTCAATCCTATTTCTTCTTGTTCGCTTTCATTCCCCCACCCCATTTATCCTATTTCTTCTTGTTCTTTCATCCCCCACCCCCCAATCTATTTCTTCTTTCATTCCCCCATTTTCATCCCCCCGGTTTCCTTCCTTTCTTCTTGTTTGCTTTCATGCCTTTCAAATATTTCCCCTTTGATATTCTATTTCTTCTTGTTCGCTTTCATTGCCCTTCCTTGGTTCCATTTCATCTTGTTCGCTTTCACCCCCACCCAAATCCCTACCCTTGGTTCTATTTGTTCTTGTTTATTGTCAATCCCTATTGGTCGCTCTTCTTTTTCTTCGTCTTCATTCTCCTTTCTTGCTTCAGATTATCTTTTCTTATCGGCATTTGTTTCACTTTTCTCTGCTTTTCTCTTTTTGTATTTTTCATCGGCCTTCTCCTCCGATTTCTTTCCCTCTTGGGTCTTTTCACTATCTTCTTGTCCGCTTATATTCTCATCTTGAAAAGGTTCACTTTTCCACCCTATTGAAAGTGTCAAAAGAACGCTGTTCCTTCCTTTTTAATGATCTCCCATCAATGTCAGGCCGCTTGTTTTGCCAAAGGTTTCTCGATTTTTTGCCGGTCGTATTTTGCAAATGTCGAAATGAAGACATTTACCAAAAGAAAAGTCTCTGACCTTCATACCGAGTTATTCGTCTGCCTGTCTTTGTGTTATTGAGGTCAAGACAAAAAAAAAAAAAACTAGCAGAGTCTAAATAAAATAAAATAAATCTAATAGTATTGAAAAAAATATTTTCAGGAATGGCAGTATGTAAAAATCGAAACATGAAAAGCCAGAAAGGTCGGATGTAAATTGTAAATTTAGATTCTATTTTATTTTACGAAGGATATTTTTTTTTTCATTATTTTTTTTCTCCTTTAAAAGTTTTGACATAAAACTCACTTGTAACTTGCTGAGGAAAACGATATCTTCAGATGTTTGTTTGTATGCATGAATGGCGATGTGTATATATATATATATATATATATATATTAGACTGAACTAAGTCTTAAAATTATTTAAATATATTTTCTGCTTATATATATATATATATATATATATATATATATATATATATATATATATATATACAAAAAATGGACAAACACAATTTATTTTATTAAAAGACATTTTTATGTTTAACGTTCTTTTTATAGATAAAGTATTTAAGCAAATGCTCTGTTTATAATAAACAGTATTAAATTTCTGGTTTACCAATTGTCCTGAATGTCCGAGAAATTTTCATAGAAAATATTCGTCCTTGTTGACAAATTTCGAACCTGCATCCTATACGGAACCGTCATTTACTTTAAAATTGATCAGTAAATCACGTCAGCGTAAATGACGGTTCCGTTTAGGATGTAGGTTACAATCCTGTTAAGGACGAATATTTTCTATGTCTAGTCACTGGATCTAACCAACGTCATTATCCACTGGGCCATGGATCCTTGAGGACACCTTCCAATCACCGGAAGAAGGCCGGAGCGTACAACGGCCGAAACGTCGTGAATATCGCAATGAAGATGAGGATAACAGTCCGAATGTAAATAATGTAAGTAATCATAATGCCTTATCTATATAAGATATAGACAGAAACAATAGCAGTTGTGGCAAAAATAGATTGTTCTAGTTCCACGTGCCATGCCTCGTCTGGACGTATCAGTTATTTCCCTTTAATTCAACTCTCCAAGTTTTTGGTTCACCAAAGCCGAAACGTTGTGAATATGGCAATGAAGATGAGGATAACTGTCTGAATAATGTAAATAATGCAAGTAATCATAATACTCCATCTCAGAGATTTAGACAGATAAGATCGTGTTTGTCTTCAGATACGTTTGTTTGTTGTTGTTTTGTTTTTGTTTTTAAATTTCTGCAAGTTTTCCCAATGTATTGTGAGGAGCAGTCGTGACATTTATTTTAAATATACCTGCTTCTGGATTATTATTTTTATGGGTATTTGGGGTTTTGATCAAATTCATAATAGTTTTGTTAAGATTATAAGTTTTTAGTAGGTACAGTGTAGCCCGGATATAAGAGTTGTCGGGACCGGAAAAGAAGTCTCTTATATCCGGGTTTATCTTATATGCAGGTTTGGTCTATATTATATACATTAACACAGGCTCTAATTTGGGACCAGAGAAAATCTCTTATATCCGGGTCTCTTATATCCGGGTTACACTGTAGTATCATATGTCTGTTTGTATCTAGTTTGTCATTGTTCTTAATGTTATCTTTTTACGGTTGTTTTTTGAATGCCTTTCTCTTATGTAAAATGAAATAATGAGGATATTGGCAGTTTTTGTAAGTGTTTTCTATGTATATTTCTTCTTGGGGTAAGTAATGGGGGCTGCAAATTTTTAGTGCTCCTAAATAGAATCTTATGATTATTCATATGTTAACCTGTTACATTGGTGGGAATGCAAATTGATAATGCCATTCTCGTTGGTGGATTTTCTATAAACCCCCAACTGAACGCCGTTATTAGATCTATATAGCATGATATCTAGGAAGGATAGTAAAATCTATTGCGGGTTCAAGGTAAAGTTTGTAATAGTAAAACTAAATTTTGTTCGTCCTGGTTATAACGGTACCACAGAGATCCTTCCCTGCCCTCCATTAGAATGTCTGACGCTCAACTTCTCGAGGGCACCTCTCTGCAGCTGCTCGGTCTCACGTTGACTGCTGACCTGAGATGAAACAAATACATTGAGTCAATTGTTTCGTCCACCGCAAGGAAAGTTGGCTACATGTGCCGCGCCAGGAAATTTTTCTCCCCGGAATCGATCCTCCAGATCTACAAATCAACAATTCGCCCTTTCATAGAGTATTGCTGCCATATATGGTCTGGAGCCCCTTCTGTTTGCCTCGGGGTTCTTGATAGGCTCCAGAGGCGGATATGCAATATAATTGGCCCTGTTCTGGTATCTCGTCTACAGTCGCTCTCCCACAGACGCGCCGTCGCCTCTCTCTGTCTTTTTTACAAATACTTTCATGGTAATTGCTCCGAGGAGCTGCATTCAGACTTTATGAGTTCAAGCGCCCCCACCCCCGAAACTGGCATCCCGCTCTCATCCTTTCACTGTCGAAACTTCTAAATGTAGCCACCTCTTCTACTGTAATAGCTTTATGTCTCGCACCTCTCGCCTGTGGAACTCCCTTCCCTATTCCAGTTTCCCTGAGAGCTATAATCACCAACTTTTCAAATGTAATGTCAATCGACATCTCCAGTTGCCTTGATCTATCCACTTTCCTTCTCCTCATCCTTTCCTCTATCACTTCTATCTGATCTTGCTCCAAATCTTCTGTAACCCCTTGCGTCCTAGTGGCTTCTCGCCTTGCCTGGGGTGAAACGCTTAAAAAAAGAAAAACTACGTCCAACAGTAAGACCTCTGGTCGGGGTGGTAGCACATGTTGGGGGTCCTAGCTATGGAAAAATAGTTAACCCCAAAACTGAGGTCAAAACCCTATCAAAAATGATAAAGATAGGTTTTTATAGTAAAAATACCAGCAATACATTTTTGAAAAAAATATTACCAGCAATACATTTGACTCTCGGCAAAAACCTTCTTTACAAAAATATGTCATTGAACCTGACGACAAAATGATTTCCTACAAAGAATACGTATTCTATTCATATGAAACTATCCTAAAAATCTTGTCAGCATTAAATAACCCATTGAGATTGATGTGGCGGATAACAAAATAAATCAAACCAAACCAGAAACTCCAAAAATTGACAGGCCAAAACGCATCTGAGTGGTGATCCCATCAGAAAACCAAATTTTATTCTATAAAAATCGTTATCGAAGATGAAAAGCATTGATTGATGATTAAATGTTACTTGATTTTAAGTAAAGAAATAGGTAATTTTGTTTTTGTTTAGTTAAGTGCGTCTTCAGCAAATTTAGGCATTTCTTTACGGGGATATTTTTATATAAAGATTTTATGTCTAAACTAGTCATATTTCTTTTTCATGTCTGTTTTTTTTTTTTTTTAAATTTATTTTAAAGATCATCAAAGTATAAACTAGTTTGTGTGGGAAGCCAGCTATTTCTGATATAATCGGCCTCATCGGGATATCTGGTTCATGTATTTTGGTTATCCGTAGAGTACTGGCATTTTCTCGTGACGTCCGATAAATTTTAACCAGAAACTGTCTTCATTTTTTAAGAATTTCTTGGTTTCGTTTTTACATTTTGGTGTCTTTTATTTATTTATTTATTCATTTTCTTCATAATTATTCTAGTCTTCGAGAAAGAGTGTCATTTTTTGTGGTTGAATGTTTTTGTGCATAATTATTATTCCAACACCTATTGTCGGAAGAGGTCATATGAGTGTTTTTTGTTTTTTTGATATTTCTCATTATTTTATTCACGTTGCCAAGAGAAAAGCACGCAAAATAGACAACAAAAAAGATAATGACATTATTAATAATACATGAATAACAATGACAAAAAACTGGATAAAAACAGACAAAACCTACTAACTCCTTAACATCTAATATTCAAAACAATCTATCCACGCTAAACATCAAAATAATTACAACCACACCTTTAAACTATTATGGGTATGATCAGAACACAAAATATCAATAACAATAATAATTCAGAAGCAGGTAGATATAAAATAAACTACCACAACTGTTCCTTACAATACCAATGTATTGTGAGAAGCAACTTTTGTTTTTTAAAAAGTGTTTATCTCCACAGAAGTTATCTTATAAAGAACAATTTATTTATATATATATATATATATATATATATATATATAATGTGTGTGCTGGTAGTATCACTGCTATGACTAGCTTAGACCAGCTTGGACAATGCTAAAATAAACGAGCTATCAACAGATCAGCGGCCCGAGTGAAAAATACTCATTTTTCCCCAACGTTAAAATACCTTGTGTCACATCCTGACTCGGTGGGGCGTCAAGTAAATATCTTATATATTTGGTTGGATTGATGTGAGTTTGTGACCCTGGGTTTCACGCTTTCTAATAAGTACCGCGCATATAATATATATATATATATATATATATATATATATATATATATATATATACATCACACACACATATTTTTACTTACACACACAGATATATATATATATATATATATATATATATATATATATATAATGATAGAAATTAGGAGAATTTGAGATAATTATAATTAAATAGTTCATCGAGTCTAGAAGAAAGAATATGTGATCGAACGGTGCTATATCGAGTCTGATTCGCTACTTCATCACCTTCGAGGCCCGTTGGAACAGTTGGTATGACGTGTTCCTGATAACGTAACTGTCCGGGTTTCAATTCTCGATAGTGTATGCGCACTGCTGATGAGTCCCAAATATAGGTCGAAACGTGTTTTCTGCATTCTGTTGAGGTTTCTTCTAGACTCGATGAATTACTTTGTGTGTGTGTGTGTGTATAATATATATATATATATATATATATATATATATGTGTGTGTGTGTGTGGAAATGACT